GTACAGTATATCCAACGTGAATGCATTTTAATAAGTGGCACTGCGCCCTGATGTGGCCTACTTTATTATTTTAATCTGTTTAATGCCAGATGATTTTACTCGTCAGGAGGAGAGTGCTGCCCAGGCTTTTAGCCAGAAAGGCGTCCAGGCGTCCTGGGACGCCCCTAGAACGAAAAATGGACGCCTTTGGATGCCCAAATTCCAGCGGAAAAGGGAAATTATTTTTAATGATTTCCCTAAGTATATTAATACATCTGGAACGAAATAGCTTCAATTTTCACCATTATTATACACTTGACATTTTGATAAATTTGATGGTGACCTGGCTGAATGAAAATGTCGTAGTTAAGTAAAGAAGCATGGCGGCACAAACTCACAAAGCCAAGTGTTTTGAAAAATTTCTAACGGGCTTGAAACAGATACTGACATGAAGTAACTTAAAATTCAAAGGTTTTCCACAAGAACGTTTTTTCGAATCCCCTCCCCCGCTCTTTACTGTAGATGTATCGTTGCACCAAAATGGGACGCCCTTTTTCAGGACCCTGGCTAAAAAGGCTGGTGCTGCCACTCAATTGGTTATTATAAATTAATCAGAGTATCTGTCCATGCACCCTGTTAACCAATTAAGTGGCAATGCGGCACACTCTATTATTTTAATGTGCTGAATGATTATATTACTACCTGAAATGAACAAGCAGTTTTGTTATTTCAGGTAGTAATACAACCACTCAGCACATCAATTTCACATTGGTACTACCCACACTGGTACAGACAGTTTTAGTATTATGCTTGTGATGTTACTCTGAGTGTATATCCACACCGGGAAGGCTTGAAAAATATGCCTGGCCACGGTGGGAATCGAACCTACGACCTTTGGAATACTAGCCCAATGCTCTGCCAACAGAGCTACGCTGTCAGGTCAGTTCGAGTATGTGATATTTCGGAACTGAGTCTAGTTCCTTCGATATCAGTGTAATCTAATAATCATGATATTTGCTGTGTTGGTGTAGTGTACTCGGGTGAATAAGATGCTTGTGATGTTACTCTGAGTGTATATGCACACCGGGCAGGCTTGAAAAATATACCTGGCCACGGTGGGAATCGAACCTACGACCTTCGGAATACTAGCCCAATGCTCTGCCAACTGAGCTACGCGGTCAGGTCGGTTCGAGTATGTCATATTTCGGAACTGAGTCTAGTTCCTTCGATATCAGTGTAATCTAATAATCATGATAATTGCTGTGTTGGTGTAGTGTACTCGGGTGAATAAGATGCTTGTGATGTTACTCTGAGTGTATATCCACACCGGGCAGGCTTGAAAAATATGCCTGGCCACGGTGGGAATCAAACCTACGACCTTCGGAATACTAGCCCAATGCTCTGCCAACTGAGCTACGCGGTCAGGTCGGTTCGAATATGTGACACTACACCAACAGAGCAAATATCAGTTTTAGTATTAATTACTCTATTATTTTACTCTAACGCCAGACAATTTTACTTGTCAGGGAGAGAGTGCTGTCACTCAGTGTGTTAAATTTATTCCAATGTCACTCAACATGCTCCCCATCTCACCTTGTAACATTACCTTGTTAAATAAAATTTTATCTAAGTTGTGAATTTTTACATTCTGTAAAGTAAATATATTTAACCCATCAAGTCGCATTGCGCCCTGATCATGCACCCTACTTTAAGCCAGACAAATTTACTGATCAAGAGGAGAGCGTTGGCACTTAATGAGTTAAGTTATCTATTACTGTTTGACAATCAAAATAAGTCGGACCTTTCATTGTTGCGCTATTCGCAGATACATGTACGCCTGGCGTATCTATTTTTTCCATACCGCGGGAACAGACGCCTGTTGAAGGGAGGCGTTGAAGATTGAAGTAACGGGGGGAGCCAGCTGGGGCGCGTAATCTTTTAGAACCCAATTCGGTATTTCATCTGGGCCAGCCGCTTTTGAAGATGATATTGAAGATAATTTATAATAAATGTCTTCTTCCCCTATAATGTACTCGGTTGGAATAATAGTATAATCGCTTTATAATTGGGTATCGGGGAAAGGGATAGGACTAAGGGGAGGAATATCTCGAGTAACGGATACGAAAGCCTCGTTAATTTTTTCAGCAAGTTGCTTTCCAGAGAATTATAATTTGATTTGTCACAATCATTTACATACAAACAAGAATTGGTTACTGACACTATTACAGAACATGCAAAAATACAACATTGGTGTGACTGGTGTGACAATAAATTGAATTGAAATTGAATTGAATTGACTGGAGTGAGGAACAGGACTTGCATCCCAATTGACACCTAAATCCTATAATGAATGACTACACATCGACATTTGACAACTGTTTATATTGACAATTGCTTAATTGACAAATATACCTGTATAATCAAAAATCATCAGTGTAAAATGTTAGGGGTATAAATTGTATTTTAATTAATAAAACACAATAAGTTATTGACTAATTTCAGTTCGGTGTTGAAATTGATTTTCCACAGTAAATTAACTCTTCTTATATCTTTTAAACAAAATTGCTTCAAAGCTCATTTTATGTAAACGATTTTCCAAATATATATTTTTTTGATTGAAAACTTGCTTGACCCACTCCTGGCAAACAGCCATGCATATTCTTGAAATCAGTAGGGACACAGAGTAGAGACATACAGAGCCGTAACTGACCGTCGTAAACACTGCGGAAGATTACGTTATCATTTACCCACTATTTTTCAGGCGACCGGGCAAAAAATTATCAACTGCGCGTGCTCAGCAAGTTTAAAGTGAGTCGTAATCAGGTCGTCATCCAATCAGATGCATGCATCTAGTAACTTGCCGCGCATGCGCATAAAAAAAGTGGGTACCCTAGTTACAACTCTGTATGTATCTCCTCTGTGGTAGGGCTGACCATCCACGGGTTGAGGAAAAATATTTTAACGAGAGGTGCGGTTACGAAGTTTGAAAATTTCAAATTTTAACGGTTTGGTTCCAGGGCAGATCGACTCACGAGTTCGGAGAAAGTTGGAGAAAGTACTTCAGTTTACATTAAGTTGTTCTAATTCTTCAAGGAAAAGCGAGGAAAAGGATTTTACAAGTTAGGAAGATTGAATAAACATAAATATGTGTATCCGCTGCTTTATAGAAGCGTTTGGCAATATTTTATCGGCGAGTTGAAATTTAGGTCTTGCCCAAGTTCGTCCGGCGTTACAGTTGCCTACCTAATTTGTGTACTTAGTAAAGGGGAATATTAGATGATGAATAATATAGGCCGGGTTCAACAAAATTTGCTGAAAATCGACCAGAGTGAAGTAAATGATACAGTAAACAAGTAAGTCCACCAATATTTTGAATCACAGCGTATTTAGACATTAGTTTTTTTACAATATTTTACAATATATGAAGTGTATATTATATTGCATTGTCATGATGTTTTTATATCATTACATCAAACTAAAACCATCACCCCCAAATCATACATAATACCGTAAAGGAAACTAAGTAAGTTATACTTTATAATTTAAAGTATATGTTTAATGCAAAATATAATAAAATTTAAAAATAAATAAATACCCACACAGAGTCTGGGCCATCTGTGCACATACATGTATGTGATGTGTAGGTTATTTTGATTCGTGACTCATTACTGGAAAGCAAATATAAAAATGCGATTTGATGCTCTATAGTGCAAACACAAAATGTGCATGAAAGTGACGCTGACTAATACCCGGGAAATTGCGATGATTTCCGACGATGTCCGGTTTCGATACGAGTTTAACCGGAACGCGTTCCGCAGATGCGTTAAGGTAAAAGTGGAACGCAATTGGAACGGGAACGGGAATGGAACGCAAATGGAACGCGTTCCGAACGCGTTTTCTGTTAGGTTATTTCTGAGAAGCACTGTACAAATAACAAGTGAGCTAGATAACTTTCATCTGATGACATATAAATGAGTCTCTGTCAGAAGCTGATCTATACAAGTTTCTCTTAGTCCATAGTTTGGCCGCCATTCATTTTGGTAACATGTCTTACACCAAAATAGAAAATCAGTCATGTCAAACTTTCCCGCGTTATTGCATCTCGCGCGCCCGATCCCTCGGACTCTTGAGAGACGGACTTGATCCAAGTCTAATGTTTGTTATGCTGAAGCGAAGTCGGACATGAATAATTACTTAACTTCATTATTAACAAAATTACCTGACAGGTCCTACATAGTAACAGTTATCACCTGTGCAAGACAGCTTGAGTCAAGACAACAACGCTCTTTTACAGAGAATAAAATATCAAGATTAGGCAAAAATTGTATCGGAGAAAAATGTCGCAAGGTCTTTTGAGGTAGGGGGTCAATCATTTTACGATAACGATTTTCTATATGTAAAGGTTGATTGATGCATTTGATGGATTGTACTTGTATTATAAATATTCTGAAGTGCAAGCGTATAGTACTTGTATGGGATAGATATCGTAAAATTCTTGTAATCGCACGTAGAATTTAAGTTAGTTGATCGTTCGGTGCATTCTGGCAAAGCATATTTACAGAACATCTCTTAAAAATATATAACTTTTTAAATTCTGAAAAATATTTCAGTCGAACATGTATAACTTTTTTTTTGAAAGGACTTGCAAGAAATATTCACCTGTATAAAATTAATTTAAGTTAGATTATTCCTATTTAAATTTTCCTCCCTTGAGGTCCAGTATGAACCTCACCAGTTTTATAGAGATACAGTAAACGCCAATATCAGTTTAGTGGGCAGTGGCGTAACTACTATGGGCTCAGACCGGGAGAACCCTGGAGCCTCCAATCCCAATGGGCCAAATGGGGGTCCCCAGGATTAGGCGATGGAGCAAAAACATTGGCCAGGGCCTCTGATATGTTACAATGTCGTTTTATGACCAATAGAATTCGTAAAATCTCTCCCCAAAGTCCAGGAAATGGCATTTCAGATAGCCTACATTCAAATATTTTCCGGATGGGCATGCCCTGGACCCCCTAGAAAACTCGTGCATATATGGCGCTCGACTCTTGCCTTTGGCACTTCTACTAGGGGGCCTTCGAAAATTTTGAACCGGGGGCACCCTGACATAACGTTACGCCACTGTTAGTGGGTCACCATTACTACACAAGCAAATCTAAACCGGAGTAAACTAAGTTTATATAATTATTTTTCACTGGAATCACCTCAACTACGAACGCTGGGCGCCAGTGACAGTGTATGTAGCAAGAATCCTAAAATATCATCACCTGTTTGAAGCGAAGGACCTTCGTCCGGACGTTAGGACACGACGGTACTTCGCTCAAAACGTCGGAGGTCTTTTTGTATTTTTCACGTACTTGAATCTTCCACAGTGCTCGCATTTTACATATCTAGCATTTGTTTTTCCTTACATTATTGTCTTAATATGGCCCTGGATCGTAAAAGCACTGGATAAATAATAAACTCATGATCACGCATGATGTTTCACCGATGCTAATGAATGGCTTCTCAACCTTGTTGAAAATTATGACATCGCTAAATCCAAAATAATAATTCCGCGTTTGGCAATAACTGAGCATTTTAGTCAAAAACCTACAAGCATGCCACTGTCTCTACGATAAAATATTTAAATATTCTTGGCCATTTTCAGGGAACATATGAAGCATTAGGCGGTGAAATAGGCGTCACAAATTTCAATTATATCAACAGTAGTTATTGTGACGCCAATTAATTGCTTGGTTACGAATGTAAAAAACCCTAAAACAAAGACGAACACTAACACGAACACTTTGCCGTTGCACAGGCAGGTTTAAAAGGCAATGAAACAATTTTGAACCTCAACTGAATGCGACAATTATAGGAAAAGGAAAGAAAAACGCAGTAAAACCTAATTATATACGTTGTATTCGGACATCACGAATTTCAAATAGGTCACGTCTGTTGGCGTCAGCTGTTTCCCAGTCAATTTTTTACGAAGTTGTTATTGTGCATGTGCCCGGTCACGGAATAACGTCCTGATACGAGAAGACTCGAAAGTCTAACTATTTACTGATGTCAATGCAAAGGTAGCACCTTCTCGTCGACCTTGAGTAGAGGTCCCAGGAGTTATTCTAAGGATTATTTACAACTCCAGTAAATAAAAGAATTCTGCCACTTTGTTGAAGTATTAAGCCTTAAGGAGGAAATCTACTGTATCGACCTGCATTATCCAATTTATTCCTGAGAATAACTAGCCCGGCTAATTAATTTTTTTGAATTTTGTGTGGTCTTCATCTTACTTATTCTCCAGTTACACTGTATGTGACTCTGTCACAGCAACTGTTAGTCACTTTTCGGTGTGGTGACGTAAGACGCAACGAATACGGTACACCTGTTGATGAGGTAGGTGAGAGGTAATATACCTTCAGGACATAGGTTCTTATT